GTTTCTTTTTGGTTTCTGCCGGTTTCCGCTTGGTCACAACCAAAAAAAGCCGTCTTTGGGAAAAGACGCCGTAACGGCATTGTTTTTGAAGAGGCAATCATTGTGTCGTTGCGAAGATCCACGTATATGTCTGCTTGGGCGAGCAACGAAGCAGACCGATCACAGATCATGTTGATATGGTTAATATAATAGATCTGAAAGCATACCTTGGAAGACTTGATGTTTCATACCAGTTGAGCATACCTTGCGACCAACTGATCAACTGATTATCATGCCAGTTTCACAGTTTCAGTGGAGCATACCTTGGAAGACTTCAAACCTCCCACGCATCGGATCTGTTCATCCCAGGGAGAGGTGATCTGTTCATCCCAGATTTTCCTCAAGAAATGTCTTCAACGATGGTCAAAGAGCCCCGGGGCTGGGGGTTCTTCATGGAATAGCCACTTAAGGCAACCAATCAGTGACCTCATGAGATGGCTTGTATACGTCAATGACCACAAGAGAATTGGAGGTATTTCCTGCGCCATTCGCCCCCCCCCCCACCCGGTAGAAGACGCGACATGTTTTGGTTTCTGTGTCTGGATGGTGGTCTGCAGCACAGTTCCCATCTCAACTTCATCCACTTCAGTCTCACGCCTTCTCCCCCAAAAAAAATAACGAAGAACCGCCACCAAACCCTCCACCATCCATCCTTTCTCCGCAACTCACACCGGTCACACCGACACCGAGACACCCAACCCTCAAAACGCCCCCCGCCCAGTAACGGTCCCGGGAAGTCGTCCGGGAACGGTCGAGGAGCAGATCTGGAAGGCATCGCGTAGGAAGCGCCGAGCACGAGAGTCCACACGGGAGACCTGCTCTTTGCAGAGGGCATCTGCCAAATCAAGCATGGCCTCTGCCTCGCGGCTTCCTGGGAGGATGTCGTGAGAGCATATGAGAGGATGTTTTGGCCATGTTGGTTGTGCTTTTAAGAAAGCATGCACTTAAGCGAGTTGGCACGTTTTGGAGGATGAGTACGTAGAAGGGATCTGTACCTTTTCCAAACATGATGAATGTTTCACAACCTAATAGCAATGGCCTCCAACCTAATAGCAATGGCCTCCAACC